CCCACCCCTTCCTTTCAGTCGGCTCCCCTTCCATCATCTTGCTGTTGCGTCCAGGGTCTTGCGCCGCTGTGTCTCCAGCCATCGCCAAATTGTCCGGTCTTTGGATGCCCCCCCTCTCCCCCCCCTTGCCGTGCCATGCTCACTCGCCGTACACCCCTCTCTCCACCTTTGCACCTTGCCCATCTGACAGGGGTACGCCTGTTTCCACATTTGGAGCGCCGTCCATGGCATAAGATCCCCAAATTATGCCACCGTCATCGCTCGACAAGGTTGCCCAGCACCGCAAGACAACCTGCTCCGGACAGACCGCGTCTCGCACGCGCGAAAGCTCTCCAGTTCTCCGACCCAGCGTCGTCCCCCCCGGCAGGGAAGCGAGCGCAAGGCACGACAAGGCAGGCCTTGACAAGGGAACCTGTGGCGGCTATCCTTCCACTCCACACATGCCTGCACTTGCACTTGGAGACATTGGACGATATAACACACTGGCCGGGCCCACGACAAGCTGCTCCGTCCTCTGGTCTTCCGTCACCGAGCATTACGTCGGGAGCTAAGTTTCTATAACGAGAATACAGGGACCCTCCAGATTTCCATAGCTGCCGTGGCAAGCTACAGTACTTTTCGTTGAGGATACCATGGTTTACTCGGTCTTCACGCCGTCTTATTAATACTTCCTCACCCCAGCAAATACCATTCGCCAACATCTGTCTGCTGCTTCCTGCCAACGGCTCCCCCCACCAACCTTTTTCTTTACCCAAAAACGCCAGACCAGACACCCCACCGCAGATACCCAACCCACGCCTACTCCTGCCACCTCACGATCAAGTTCGACAGCCTTTTAAGATTCCGCTATTGCAAAGACGAATGGTAGCTACGCTCACACCATCGGGCCGAGCACAAAAGCCTTTCGTCGTCCTATCATCACGGCCTCGGCCGCCCCGGCTGGCCGTACGTCTACGCAACGTCTCACCAACAGGAACAGCAGCAAACCCCCGACGCCCGTCCAACGCAGCCCGAGAGGGCCTCCGCTCAGCCAATTCTTTCTCTTCAGGTTCCGGCGACCGTCCAGAGCGGTTCGCTCTGGCGGGACCCATGCATTGGAGGCACGCTGGCGGGCCATTACCGGGTAGGGGACTACAATGTCGATTACTCGGCACAAGACTCGCATCAAGTCGATCAGAGTCACCAGCAACAACACAGCTTTGATCCCTCTCCCCATCAGCACCCACGAACCTCCCTCCATCATGGCGGTGGTACATCCCATTGCCTGCCCGAGCCGCAGCAGAGCCACCACCAACACCACCACCACCACACGGCCATGGCCCAGCACCATAGCCACAACCCTCACCAGGTGCTGATGGATCCATCGCACATGGGGCACCCGCGACACATGGGCTCTTCGCATTTTGCTGCTCCAGGTTCGGTTGTTTCACCGCTCTATCCTTCCATGGCAACGCCGCCCCAGGTCCACGGCCAACATGCCTCCATCAAGCGACCTCGACCCGAGGACCTCGACCTGTCCGTGGCGCCGATCGGAGACCTGGACCACAGTGAACTGGACAGCATGCAAACACCTCTAGGCGCAACCTATGGCGAAGCCTCTGGTGCTATGCAGCCGCCGATGCATCATCACCACAGGATGCCCGACTCGGGCCCCCCTTCCAAGCTGATGAGGAGGGATGGAGAATCGCTTCCCAGCGTAGTGGGACAAGCCGGGATGCCTGCACCAGCAATGAGGCCGCGAGGGCCGAAGCTCAAATTTACACCAGAAGACGATCAGCTTCTGATCGAGCTGAAAGAGAATAAAAGCCTTACATGGAAACAAATCGCCGACTTCTTTCCCGGCCGCTCCTCAGGCACCCTACAAGTTCGATACTGCACCAAGCTCAAGGCGAAAACCACGCAGTGGACTGACGAAACGGTATGTTGCCCCTCGATCTGACCAGAGCCAACCCTCCCTGCTTGTTCGGCAGATGGCTGACAGACACCCATAGGACCAGAAACTACAATCAGCCCTGCAAGACTACGAAAGCGAGAAATGGCGCATTGTTGCCAACAAGGTCGGGACCGGCTTTACGCCAGCCGCGTGCCGAGAGCGCGCACAAGAACTTCTTGAGGGTCCTTTATAGCAATCAGTGTCCCCTCCCGGAGCTCACGCATCTGAGGTTGGGGACACCACCTACACGCAGCATCTCCAGTGATGAAGAGGAGTATGCCATCAGCGACAATCTTTATTACGCAGCTTGACCTGGCAAAGATCAGGAATTATCTCGGTCTTTCCTGCGCCTGTTTCGCCACCTACCATTTCCACCAAACCGTACACGGGCAAGACGAGTGTTATTCCTTGTCTCGCAGCCTTTTAGCCAAAACGCGACTCCCTTCGAATATCGAGTTTTAATCTCCGACGATACCCAATCTTGACAGCTTCTTTCCTTTGTCCCAGTCATCACCCCATTTCCATGAAACCACGACATAGACAAGGGCTAGCAAGCAGTACCCTCTGACGACCGCTGTATTTTATTTTCCATTCGCCATTTCCTCTCGCCATTATCTCTCACGGTGCGCAACCGACCAACGTGCTTTGCCCCTCCGACAGCGCCATTCGTGTCAAGGCCCTGGTCACACGCAAGGGTCCTAGGGAAAAGCCCACTACGTTTCCAGTCACGCATCGCACCCACACCCAAATTTCCTTTACTGTCTTTGAACGCCTTGTAATATTAGAGGGCATCAGCGCGGCTCGGAGTACACAGCCTGGAGATCGGATCCGGCCAGTAGCCGCGAGCACGGGCTGTGGCATGATGTCGGCCTGGCGGGCGCATCCACGAGATCACTCTCGTCTGAAAACGGGAAACGGCCCGCATACACAGAAGGGGAAAAGGCATTGTCACAGACGCATACATGATTCTTTTGTCTATTTTTACTCGTTGCATTGTTGATTCGATAAATCATTTGTTTTCCTCCATGTCCCTTCATCGATCTAGTACTATCAAGTCGCATATTTCTGTCTGTTCGGCCATGCATTCTCACCGCTCCAGCTATGACACTAAGTAGATTAAGGTAGCTCAACAGAGAGGGAGCCTGTGGTGGCATTTGTCAGCGCTGCATGTACCTTCGCACAGCGAGCAGAACGGCAGGATCCGAAAACAGGACCAACTCCCTGGTTTCTGAAAGAATTTGGGCCAGTAATGAGTCCTGGGAACACCCCCTGGAAGTCCTGGAAATGGAACGCTTCTAGGGGAGAGGGGGGGGGGGGGGGGGGGGGGGGGGGGGGAACCCCCCCCCTCCCTTTAGAGGGGGGGTATAAATTGAATTCTCCCTGCCGACGTCCGCAGATCAGCTCAATCTCGGAGAGAGCTGACGGGTAGCATAAAGCAGCATAAGACAGTGAGGGACAACCTTCTTTCCTTGGTTGAAACGACCCAGCCGCCTTGTATGCTATATGGCGAGTGGGTTCTGATATAACCCTCTCTCACCCGTTCCCAGTATGCCGCCCCCCCGCCAGCGTACCATTTCATGTTCGCGCGACCATCGACCGACCAAACAGGAAGCTCGAGCCTCCACAGCGCATGCAACCCAAACGAAACGGGCGCGCCACTTTGCTGGAAATGGTGAAGCTTCGCCTGACCGGTGGCGATGGGAGGGGGGACGAAGGCCGAGGATCGCCGAAAGAGAAGCTTGGAGAACAGGGCAAACACGAGAAAAGAAGGGCATTTGTGCCTCGGTTTTGGAATGCGTCATGTTCCATGAATATCCGCGATGGCAAACATGCGCGGCGATGTAAGGTTATGACGGTACCCTTGTCTTGTCTGCTTCCTTTCAAGGCTCAAGTGTGCCATTGCCTGTGGAGGCTCTGTAAACCACCCCTCCCCCTCCCTTCCTTGCGGGGGCCCCTCTTAGTTTGGTATGTACCTTCGCATAAAAATACCCGACAAGAGCCTACCTGGTAGGTGCCTGGGTCTTTGGGAGGAGCATATGCATGAGAGCAGCCGAGGGACATGCGCGGCGTTGCATGCATGCATGTCAACCAAATCATTGTGGCCTCTGCTTTGATTTGGTCCATGGAACGGTCATGCGCTGACAGAAAACGTGAGCCGTTGCCTGCCGCTGTTGGCCTGGTGGTTGCTGACAGCATGATGATGACCTTGGCGGCGGAGGAGGAGGGGCTTGAAACCAAAACTGGGGCAGCACACCAGAGAAGTACCAGGCAGCTGGAGGGGGCGTGTGGCAGAGGAGTAAGGGGAAGGGAGGGCGATCGAACGGGTGAACTGCCGGGGTTGTCGGGGATTTGCGGTGCCGGGGCATGGCTGGTCCTGGCTGGTTTGATCGCCTGGGCCGAGGACATACTACACAGTAGGTGAACAACATCAAGGGGTTGGACCCCTTGAAAGATGTATAGGGCATCATGCGATAGGTTTGTGACTGAGATGTTCTTGAAACGACCTTCTCTTGTCTGGTATAAGCGATCGTCTCCTTCGAGAACGAGTTTGAGTATGCTGCTCGTGGTGAGAGCTGGGGTTGGATTTTGATGTCTGACAACTTGACGCTTGGCATTGCACGCACTCACGATACTCGATCAGTCTCTGCATTGAATTATTGAGTGAACGAGGCGACATGTCCGAGCTTCTTGTTCCTTATTTGCAGATGTGTGTGTGTGTGTGTGTTGGCTTTATGGCTAAGACTTTCGTCTCGCTGCTTCATGCTCGTCTAATGCCATGCAGCGTTGCACTGTATGTTTCTCATGCACTTCATTCGCGCATCTTCTCATGTCACCGTGGAAACAGTAAGCGAGGCGGCGGTGACGAGATCTCTTGCCATCAGAGCGAAGAATGACATGTGCATTGTCCCGCCACTCTATGCCGACGACTCGCGAGCCATCATTAAATGCAAGTCCTTATGATTATCAGGGGCCGAACTTATTATATACAGCACCTATACTTACACCTATTGCATGTAAGTATGGGGTGTGTGGCGGGAGGATCGCAAGGGGGCAACCCTTAGGATATCTGTTAACGCAGAATCGCAACGCGGGCTGAAGATCAGATCAAGATTGCATCGCCAGAACTCTGCGGTGTTGCCGTCGACTGAATCGTGGCGTGGAAACACATCTTGGCGTCGTAGCATGGTAGCAAAGACGAGATGGGGGATAGCTGTCTCGAGGGGGGGCCTACAATGTGCGGCCCCATCCCTGACAAATAGACCTGTGTTGCTGAGCTCTCCGCCGATGACCCAAATGGGCGCGAAAAACAAAACCAGCAAAGGCCTCGAGCTGCGACGAGGCTGTCGAGAGCCCCCCCCCCTTTTGCCTTCTCAGGTTTATTGGCCAGGGAACAGACCAGAGACTCGAACTGTCGTCTTTTTCTCGGCCTGCCAGCCCCCCGGAAAGA